GCCGAGCCCCCGCCGAGTCGACGCACAGCCGCAGGGCAGGGGTGGTGCCGGGGGCGGGCGCGCAGGCCGCCCTGGCTCCCGGCCCGGCCGCCGCCTCTCCCGCAAGTGGCTGCCAATCAGCCGAGCGCGCCGCGGGATTGGCCGGAGGGTGGCTGTTGCCCGGGCGCTGCGGCCCCGCCCTCCGCCCCCTTGCCAGCCTTCCCGGCTCCCCCGCCACCCCTCCTCCCTGGAGCTGCGAGCTGGGGCGCAGCGTGGGAAAGGATGGTTGAGTTTTAACCCGGGGCAGAGCACGAGCGGGATCAGTGTGTGCGGAACGCGAGCAGCGGAGCGCAGAGCGGCGCCGCCGTGGTTAACTCCTCCCTGCCCCTGTGCGGCCAGCATGAAGCGAGCTCACGCCGAGTACAGCTCCTCCGACAGCGAGCTGGACGAGACCATCGAGGTGGAGAAGGAGAGCGCGGACGAGAATGGGTGAGTGGGCGGCGGGAGGACGGCGCAGCCACAGGGCGCGGACCCGCGCGTGGCGACCCCGGAAACCTCTGCGGAGCTGAGTTCAGGGAGCGCGTTGGGGCCACTTCTCGGGTCACCTCCCCTGCGTAACGGAGATCTCTCCCTTTTCTCTCCTTTCAGAAACTTAAGTTCGGCTCTAGGTTCCATGTCCCCAACTACATCTTCCCAGATTTTGGCCAGGAAAAGACGGAGAGGCGTGAGTCTTTTTACAATACTGTTGTTGTTTTTAATTAACGGAAAGAGCCGTGTTTCTTTGGATTTTACAATCGTAATGGAAATGACCTCCTTTGTTTTGCCTGCTTCCCACAGATCATTGAGAAGCGCCGACGAGACCGGATCAATAACAGTTTGTCTGAGCTGAGGAGGCTGGTGCCTAGTGCTTTTGAGAAGCAGGTAATGGAGAAAGTAGGTAGAGCTGGTGGAGCACTTTGCACCTTCTGACAGTCCCCTGATGATTATGAACCTTATCTGTGTTTTGGAAAATAGCTGTGTTGCTTATGCGTGGATGAATTTATGCACAGATTCGGGGATTTTGTGAAGACTATTCTTTTGGTTTACATCACCTATTATGAGTTACTGTGTGTGTGGGGTGGTGGTGGTGGTGTATTTTCAGTTGTTCCCCCAGACACTACCAGATCAATCTTTTCACCGTTCTCTTTTTCAGGGTTCTGCTAAGCTAGAAAAAGCTGAGATCTTGCAAATGACGGTGGATCACCTGAAAATGCTGCACACTGCTGGAGGGAAAGGTACATCCCATTAGTCCCGGTGGGGGATCTGCGTGGTTGGGTCTTGGCCAGGATTGGTGCAGGCCCAGCCTCCTTTTTCCTCGGGGGTGGAGAGAGTGCTGGTGTATGCCAAGCCTGTCTGTACAGCTTCAGATGCACATCAAATGTTCTGCAGTGAAATCATCACCCAGCCTTCTCTGCAGATTGAGCTAGTGCATCTTTGGACAATGCCTGTCATCTTTAAGGTCCTTTATAAACTTGCTACAGCCCTGATTCAGATCAGGTACCCTCACATTTGCCCATTGCTCTTTTGAGGGAAAGCTTGAGACACAGGTTTTTTTTTTTTTTTTTTTTTTTTTTAAAGAATAAGTATATGGTCTTAATTTCATATGCAGGATTTTTTTTTTTTAAAGAGCAGCCATGTAACTTGAGGAAAGAAACCTATGGTTAAGTAGAGAAAAAGCTAACAAGGTGGGAGACCAAGGTCTGTGTGTTTGTCTCCAACCAGAAAATGCTTCACTAGGGGGCCCAGCGCCTGAAAGCTCTAGGATGATAACTTACATCTGTGTGTCTAATGAATTTCACTGCTCTGTGGTTTCTGTCTGTCCTTGATGTATTTTTTTGTTGTTGTTGAGGGAAAACATTAAAGGAATGAACATGGTTTCATCTGCTTGTAGGGTATAATTCCAATTTCTGCTCCCATAGTTTCTAATTGGACTTTGAACTCGCCTTAGCAGATACATTCTGCTCATGTTGATCAATGCAAAAATTTGGTCAGCTCCAAAATATTTGGACTTCCACGAGACTCCATGCATGCCATGTTGTAAGGATGGAGGGTGTTTGGGATCAAGATTGCCTTTGGGATGGGAGAAATTATGGGCAATGAGCAAAGCCCTGAGGCTTTTTTTCTTTTGTTCTTTCTCTCAGGCTACTTTGACGCTCACGCCCTCGCTATGGACTACCGGAGCTTGGGGTTCCGGGAATGCCTGGCTGAAGTTGCCCGTTACCTGAGCATGATTGAAGGACTGGATGCCTCCGATCCGCTTAGGGTGCGACTGGTCTCGCATCTTAACAACTATGCCTCCCAGCGGGAAGCGGCGAGTGGCGCCCACGCAGGCCTCGGACACATTGCCTGGGGAAGCGCCTTCGGACATCACCCGCACATCGCGCACCCGCTGTTACTAGCCCAGAACGGCCACGCGAACGCTGGCACCACGGCGTCGCCTACGGAACCACACCATCAGGGCAGGTTGGCCTCGGCACACCCGGAGGCGCCTGCCTTGCGAGCGCCCCCTAGTGGCGGCCTTGGACCCGTGCTCCCCGTGGTCACTTCCGCTTCCAAACTCTCACCACCTCTGCTGTCCTCCGTGGCCTCGCTGTCCGCCTTCCCCTTCTCCTTTGGCTCCTTCCACTTACTCTCTCCCAATGCACTGAGCCCTTCGGCGCCCACGCAGGCGGCAAACCTTGGCAAGCCCTATAGACCGTGGGGGACGGAGATTGGAGCCTTTTAAAGAACTGATGCTGTAGGATGAGGGAGGGGATAACTTAAAATCCCAGCTGAGCTGGACTGTGTTGCCAACATCACCTTAAAGTCGTCAGTAAGAATAAAAAGGAAAAAGGTACACTTTCAGATAGTTTTTTTTTTTTTTTTTTTGAAAGACTAAAGGTTTGTTGGTTTACTTTTTTCTTTTTTTATATCGGGTATTAGCAGTTTTAAAGAACTAGTTGTTGATTTTTGCTTAAAACATTAAATTGAGATAGTATAAACCAACACTTTGTGACAGGTCTATACTATGCCTAATTTACTTTGTACACTTCTAAGAGTGATTCCATTTTGCCCCCAAGTTTTGGGAATCATAACATTTAGTGTTTCTGGTCTTTTTCTCCTTGTGTAATTGTGGTCTGTTTTTAGAATTAATTTTCCAAACCACTATGCTCAATGTAACATGATTCTGTTTGTTAATATTTTGACAGATTAAGGTGTTGTATAAGTAAATATTCTTTGGGGGGTGAGCTATATTGAATTTATGTTTCCAAACAAAGCGTTGACAAATCAGATGATCAGCTTTATCCAAGAAATCAGTCAGTAATTCTCTGCCTTCTACAAACTACTGGTGGCCCAGAATGCACATGACCGACTTCTATTGTCTGCCAACTTCTTGCTGTCTGGCATTCAGGGCTTAGGAGATACCCACTGGTAGTGTAGGTCCCAATTTGGAGCACTGGGCAGGAATGAAGATGATTGCGTTGAATATGCGTGCATTTACTAGTCCCAAGCAGTGCAATGAATGTTTAATCCCACATCTCAAATTCACAAGTGTTAACCTGGATAAGTGATCATGCAAGAGGCCAATTGAATAGTACGGTGGAACCTGTTAAATGCATAATCTAATTTTCCTGGATATGCCAGATTTTTTTAATTGGAGGTTTGTATGTTGTGTTTTCCTTTTGGTGCATGGAAATGTGGTTGTTGAGGTATTTCAAATGGCTTTGTTGCCTGCTTCTCTTTGGTTGCTTTAATTTGGTTGAGGCTCTAAAAATACCATTTTTCAGGTTTATTCCTTTAGCAGGTGTAGTTTCAGTGACCTCCACTGAACTAGGTTTGACCTCTGTTGTACTGATGTGTTGTGACTAAATAAAAAAGAACAAAGTATTCTGCTATATGTGTCTCAGACCTTGGCCTTTCCCTCTGTTGACTGAGAAAAGCTAAGTTTTCTTTCCCTTGCATTCTGTGTGATGACCAGTTTTCATACATTTACCAGTTTCATTATTCTCGGACTTCTAACCTGTGATTCGTGCTTTTGAATAAAGTGACTTCATTACAGGGGGGCCTCCTACAAAGCGACACAGCCCTCTCTCTGCTGTTAAGTCAGCCAGTCTGGTTCTAACCTGGCCATCTGTGAACTAGGAATGCTTAAATCAGACTGGGAATTGCAGGGTGGGAAAGAAATCTAAAATCTTTAAAACCTGTGTGGATCACTTCACAAGTAGCTGCTGAGAGCTGTGTGCTTAGTTATGTGCTGAGAGCGTAGAAAGTGCACTTAAGTGACAAAACAAATGCTGTGGAATCCGGCCCCCGCGAAATCTCGCTGGGGAATTTGTCGTGATGAGCAGTGGCAAGCTGTAATTCCGCACCTGCACAGCTCCAGGAGGCTTCTGTCCTCCTGTTTCCAAGGAATTTGCTTAACCCTTTGGTTGCACTGGGTGCCTGAACAGTGTCTGAGGAAGCAGCCGTGTGCTTTAGGTTAGATTGGAGTTCTGCCAGAGCAGAGGCAGTTGTCTGGGCCTCGGGGGACAGCAGTGCCTTCCAGTGCCTTAAAAGTAGTCCTGCCAATTAAGGTGCTCCAGAGGAGTTCTTGATCCTGAGCGGGAGGGCGAGGAGAGAAAGCCCTGGCAGATGACAAACGGGAGCCTGCCTTTTCTGAGCTCTCTCTCACAGCTCACGATAAAACAAAGGCAAGGTGGCAAGACGAATTTCGACTTCTGGGTTCCTGAAAAGGCTGGGAGTCTGGCAGGTGGGTTTTAAGCCCAGGTTCCCATTAGGGTTGTGCTGTGTTGCTCAGATGCTGGTCCCTCTTGTGACACACAGCTCTATTCTCTGCACTGCCTGTGCCTCATGGACACTGCCTATCATCAGGCAGTGATGGAAAGGACCCTATAATTTCTGCCAAGTGTCAGGTTAGTTTACAACCTTGATTTCCAGTGGTGCTGCAGCACTATTGAACATCACTGTGCGTTGGCTGTTTAGACTTGTGTTGTTTCTGAGGTTTAGATGGCTGCTGAGGTCATTTGCAGGCTCTGTCTGAAGAGCTGTGGAACTGTAAAGCTTGTAGGATGCCCCACTCATCACATTAATGTGGCTATGCCATGATTTGGGGGGGCACGAGTACTTTTTATATGTCGTACCTAATTTTCCAGATTACATACGTTTCCAAAGAAATATTCTGGCTTCTTTTCAAACTATTCAAGGTGACAGGTTTTCTGAGAACAGTACAGGTAGAGTTTTAGCATCTTGGGAAGCAGGATTGAATTACAACATGAGCTGTAATATGTATAGAAAGTTAATGCAAGGATGTTGTCATTTCTATTTTAGATTGATACAGTCATAAAAAATACTAGCATACGTTAGCATTATGTATGTTTATAATACACCTGCCTGTATAAAAAATTTTTTTCAGATGAACTATAAATTTCCTTCTGACAAAAATAGTTTCATGGGATATGAAGACTCTCGAAAGATCTTAAATCTGCTTATTTTCAAAGTGTATTAAAATGAATTGACAAAGTGAAAGATGAGCAAAGTCTTGCATTAAACGTTTCTAAGAGAAAAATCCAAGAAATGTAGTTTCTCACTTACTCAGTTTGGCTAAATCAGGATGTGACTCTTATTTAGCTTTTCATTGCCCCACTCTGATACTTACTAAAATCATGATATTTTAAATATAGATTACTTACATTTAAGCCCCCCGAGGAAACGTTCCATGCTCGTTATTCTTTTCCCCAGCCCTTGTGGTCTATCCCAGTATCATGGCTCTGATGCTTTCATTCGTTTCCAGTGATGATTTATAATTAAGGTAACTTCAGAACCAGTATCATCTGAGACATTGCTTCAAATGTGGCCCAATTTCTCTCACTACTGGATCTCCGGAGAATGGACCATCTTGGGAAGGGGGCTGGAATTCTGGCTCTAGCCCTGCCTTTATCTAGTTCGTTGACCTTGGATAAGTCATTAAAACTCTGGACCCTGCTCTCCTCTGTCAAATTAAGATGTTGGGCTCAGGGTGGGGTCCCAGATGCACAGCTCAGGGATTGCACTTCCGGGGAAAAATGCTGTGGTGTATGCCAGGTGAGTGGTAATCCAGGAAACACAAGTTCCCGGTGCCCGTCCTATCTAAGCATCTGTCCAGAATCACATGGTGTCCGTACAAATTGTCCCCACACAGGATTTTTTGTCTAGGATTGCTAGATCTTATCAAGTCTTTATTTTTTTATTTTTATTTTTTAAAGTGTTTGGTACGGGGTCTCACTGCACAGCGTGGACTCACAGTGATCCTTCTGTTTTCAACCTCCCCAGCCCTGGGATTAGAGGGGTGTGCCACTTAGTCCACTGAGCTACCTTGCCAGTCCTGATCTTTCAGATCTTAAGATCATTGGATTTTTATGTAAAATTATTGAACTTTTATTGATCATCAGGTAATTCAAGAAAACCTGTCTACCGGCAAGGTAGTGGGCAGTAGCTTGTGGGGGTCTAACCTGAATGGCTCCCTGAAGTTCACTCTTCTGGTGACTTTGCTAGGCAGGTCCTTTGCATATGCTGAGTGGGTAAACAGAAGCCTAAAACCAAACAGACTCCGTAGTAATTAGGCAGCTGTAAGTAATGCCAGGTAAAGTTATGCACAGAGGCTTTACTTTAAAAAAAAAAAAAACAAAAACATTTTTTAGGTTGTTAAATTTCTTCAAAGTAAAATAAAGCTAGGAGAAAGAAGTAAAGAGCATCCTTTTGGTTCTACCTCTTGACACTTCCCAGGAATCATTCCTGGAGGTGCCCTGGACCTGCTCCTTTGCCAGGGAGAAGACGCCTGGTGGCCTCAAATAAAAAAGCGAGTGTGTAGCTGGCTTGTGACTCAGCATACTGAAGGACTGAAAGGCGCCCTCTGATTTCAGGAAGTAAGAAGGCCCAGTAAAACGCAAGCTGTTTTGAACTTCAACTTGAAATATAATACCTGCCTTGATCTCGGTGGGCTTTTCTCTCAGATGCTTCAGTGTTCTACCCTGCTGTGGAGGTGGGAGAAGGGAGAGAAAAGCCAAGGAAAAAGAGCCCAGGTCGTGTTTTTCTGGAAATGTCTGTAGGTATTGCTGTGTTTGCCACAGAACCGGTCCACCAACCTCTAAGTCCCAGTAAATTCAAGGTAAACAGACATCCCTGAGTGGTGGGTTTGGGGGATGGGGGCAGGTTTCTGGATTTTGTATTAACAGTCTGTAATACCAACTTCTTTACAATTTGGTTGTTAAGTTTTCTATTGCATTTATTGTTGTGTTAGTTTTGTCCTTAAGGGCCAAAGTTGGGTTTTTGCATATACTTAGCTTGAAAGAAAACTTTTGATCAAGTGTAGGCCTTTGTTTAGTGGTTATACAACTTGATTTAGAAAAATAGACCTGAACACATCCTATTGCAGCCTACAAGAGGCTGGCTGCTCCCTGAGAGAGCTGATTACTGAACATTTGCTGAAGTTACCTTTAGATTTTGTTTTTCAGATATCTTCCCTGGGGCCTGGCCTTGTTTCTGGTTGATAGAAATACTGCATGTGTGCAGCCTGGAACCATAGAATTAGACAACCACGGTCTGGGCTCTCCTCGCCCCTGTGGCCCATTCCCAGCCCCTTGCTCTTCCTGCTCTGTGGAGAGCTGCGAAGGACCGCGCCTACAAGATGGCGCTGGTTTCCGCCTTCCACCCCCGTGGGTGAGCGCTCTCTGTGCACAACAACTTCTTATATGGCCAGGGCTGCAGTCATGATTCGCTTCCGCATATGCTGGACTCATGGGCGATCCCCACGTGGCGCACTGGGATTGGGCTCAGGAGTATATATTAGCCAAGGGCTGGGGGATTGAAAAAGGAAGAAGCTTGTAATCAGGGGCCTGAATAAACCGCTGAAGGAAGAGCTGTGTGTTGCGTCTTTCCTGCTGGTCAAGAAGCGCGCGACACTGCTCTGCTGCTCTTTGCTTTTCCAGGGCCCAGTGCTCCCACCTGCTAGCCTCTCCACTGGCTGCTGCCTCTGTGGGAGACTCCCCAAGCTGCCTCTGCCAGGTTTTGAACCTTCCTCCATTGTAATTGTGATGATATCAAGAAGTGGAACTCTTAGGTGCTGATTAGTTTACCAGGGCTCCACTCTCATGAACAGATCTGTAAGTCCTTGGGCAGGGAGCTAATCACACCAGCAGCTTCTTAATAAGATGACTCCCCCCAATTTTCTCTTTTGGAGGTGCTCAGATGCCCCTCTGTCATATTGTGATGTAGCACAAAGGCCCATGCCAGGTGCTAAAGGCTCCAGTGCTCTGAGCCGAAGAACTTATTACTGTTTACAAATCAGCCAGTCTGTGGCATTTTGTTATAGCAACAGAAAGCAGACTAGGATGCATTTGAAAGGGTAAACTTCTTAGGGCGTTGCTCACACCTTAACTTCTCCATGAGGTCTTCCCTATAACCTAAAACAACCATCCTTCAGTTGGGCGTTGTGCTGCAGGCTCTTAATCCCAGCTCCTAGGAGGTGAGGCCTGAGGATCACCACCAGTATGAGGCCAGCTGTACTGAAAGACACAAAACAAACAAGCAGAAAGATACTTCACCTAAAATAGGCATCCTCCTCTTACCTTCCTACTCCCTACCTCCTCTTCCAATTTCGCTTTTCTCCATAGTACCTACTGTTACCCATCAGAGTACACATTTCATCGAATATTGGTTTACTGTCTGGTTTTGCCCAGTTTGTTCACCTCCATAATCTTATAACTTAAAACAGTGCCTAACAAGCCCAAGTGTCCCTTTATTAGCACTAAGAAGCAAAGCAAACTAGATGTAGAGGCATGTCTCTGTCCCTGCAGCCCCACCCCACCCGGCTTTCATTTGGAAGATAACTTTATACTTCACATCAGTATTTTCTCTTTGTTATTATAAAATTCTGCTGTAAACATCTAATTGAAGCATCATTCTTTAAGTGTACTTCCATGTGCGTGTGTGTGTGTGTGTGTGTGTGTGTGTGTGTATCTAGTGAGGATGTAGTGATGTTGGTCACCTCTTTTGTATGCTACTGTTCCCAAAGATACAAGCTTTTTTCTGGATTGGAGTATGCAGGATGGAACCCTGGAGGCTCCTACCGCTGAGCTAAATCCCCATCCCTTTTTAGTTTTTATTTATTATTTTTTTCTTGTCTCTCATTTTCTTTAGTTTTTATTTTAAAGTAAGAATTCACTAACTTGTCCAAGCTGGGCTCAAATTTGAGATCCTCCTGTCTCAGCCTTCTGAGTATCTGGGATTACAGGCATGCACCATCATGCCCATTTTGATATCAGATTCTTAATTCCTCTTCGCTTCTGCCTTTTCTTTCCACGAGGGCATCAGTGCTTTATTAGCACTTTTTATCTTATTCCATCTTTCGGGATGTGAATGGGCACGCACTGTGAGCTTGTGTGTGAGTTGCCCAGGAGTGTAGGTGATCTGGGGACAGTGAGACGGGAGAGAGATCTTGATGGAAGAGTGGATCTTTTAAAAAGGGAAGGTAGATTTCCTGTACAATACTCCAGTGAGCTTAGTGTTAGTACAGATGGTCCTGACTTAGGATTTGTTGCCTTTGGGGTGATGTGAAAGTGGCACATTCAGTAAAGCTGTACTTCGGATGCTTGGCTGGATCATGTTTCTGGGCTGGTGATATGTGGCATGCTTCTCAGAGTGTGAGCTTCCAGCCTGCCATCCTCCCATGAGGGTAACTCGCCAACTCTCTGCAGTGGATTGTGCTGCTACACATGTTGTCAATAGTTTAGATATATTATGTACAACTTGCAGTGAGTTTATTGGGGTGTAATTCATTGTAAGTTATTGAGCATCTGTTTGGGGTAGTGTTTCCAGAAGAATTGTTCATAGGATCATCTGAAATACTTGCAAGAAAAAGTTATGAAAACCAGCAGCTAATAAGGGCTCACAAAGAACGAGCTGTGTCTTAGAATCTTCCTCCTCTTCTGAAAAGCCTTATTCTGCTGGGCCAGCAGGGAGCTACTGGAGAATGGTGTGTCCGCACTATAGCAAGGCATTTGGCTATTTCACTACCTCCTAGAGCAGGAATAGAGAAGTGAGCTGCGCTATGGGATAGTTAGAAGGATCAGGAATTGGTTGAAGGACCACTGCTCTTTATTTAGTGCTCTCAACACACCAAGTTTTGGGGTGGGCCTGTTTCCTATGTTATCTTTGATCTTTAAAAATGGTTACTTTGAAAGATCAGTTTAATTCCATTAACAAGAAACATTTTCAGTATAGAGGCACCTGTTTAAAATCTTCAAATCATGGAGAGGCAAAGATAGGATTTACTGGTAAATCAAATCTCCATGCTTTTTCAAATTCAAGTTATCAGTTGGTTACATTTAACTTGATAAGGGGTCACCTGTGATACTTTCTAGTGGTTCCTGTAGTCAAAATAGACCACATTTCTTGGCTGAGAACATGTGCTCCCAAGGACAGAGGCAACAGAGCAGCGGTTGTCACTAGAGGGCCTAAGAGTTTCCAAGGGTAATGGGTACAGATGTTTTAAAGGCATTAATCTGCAGATGCTCAACTGCCACACACATGCACTTCTTGACTTGAAAATTCAACTTTCTCACCTTCAAG